CTTCTTAAATTGTTCTCTTCGTCTATCATTTTTGAGTTGGGGAGAATGAGGAAATGTTCTAATTTTCTCATAAAATTCCCTTTTATATATATTGTCCGCCCGTATCTTATTCAGTGGGCACCGTATACCCATGTACGTTTGCTCATTTCAATACGTTTTCCAACCTATATTCTACTTTTTCACCTTCATTTTATTCCCTATTTCGAAAACTATTAAGACATATTTGATATAAGACATGGATATGTACTATAAAGAAAGAAGAGTGTTGATTATGGCTACGAAAAATGTTTTTTGAGAAATCAGTGAGTTTTTCAATCTCATCCCTCTTTCTTCTATTTATTTTCAATCCATTGCTTGGTGGCTGGAAGGTTTCCTTCCTATGGCTAGTCTTTTTATAATAACCTAGTGTCTTTTCTCGAAACTGTCCATGAATTCTATTATCTGATTTTCTCTTCCTCCATCCATTTCCCGAGTAATAACTTTATCCACTCCGAGTTAATCTTGTTATTGACGTGTCCAATGAAGAGCCTCAGATGTCTCCATACATCTCTATCACAGCAATGTTCTCTATCTTGGGTGTGTAAAACTGCTGCTCTGACTCCATGTCAATTTTCTGTTGTCGTGTCCAATGAAAAGCTTTAGATATCTCCGTACATCTCTATCACAACACTCGCAATATTCTTTATCTCGGGTGTGTGAAGCTGCTGTTCTGGGTTTATGTCAATTTTCTGTTGTCATGTCCAATGAAGAGCTTCAGATGTCTACGTATATCTCTATCACAGCAATGTTCTTTATCTTGGGTGTGTAAAACTGCTGTTCTGGGTCCATGTCAATTTTCTGTTGTCGTGTCCAATGAAGTGCTTCAATTGTCTCCGTACATCTCTATCCCAACAGTCGCAATGTCCTCTATCTTGGATGTGTAAAGCTGCTGCTCTGGCTCCATGTCAATCTTCTGTTGTGTCCAATGAAGAACTTCAGATGTCTCCGCACATCTCTATCACAGCAATTATCTCTATCTTGGGTGTGTAAAGCTGCTGTTCTGGGTCCATGTCAATTTCCCGGAAGACTGCGGCCATTTCTGGACATGAGAATATGTTTTTAGGTGTTTGTTAGACACCAGGACATCTGTTATATGTTCTGTAGGTTCCTGTGCCATCTGGATGTATTGTCATTCCTTCGTAAAGTTTCGTTCTAAGTCTTGTTCCGAGTGTCGGGCAAGACGTCGAAACAGGCTGGCTCTCCTCCTCTCAATAGTTTCCAATAGGTCCTATTCTTCTTAGATCATTTACAGAATATCTTCATAGTTCAATATGCAAGTCCATGGAAACCTTATAATTCAGCACCAACCTATCGAAACTGGGGAAGTGCACTTTACAGAACGGACTATCGGCGATTGCATATTTCCGTACTAGGCTTACACAAAAACAATTCTAATTCTAAATCAACTTAGCCCTAAATAACCTAACCTAATTTAGACAATATCTAAACCTAACCCAACGTGACCTAACCCAGTATATTGATATACTACTTACCGCGACCTTACGACCAGTAGTTCGCAGAAATTAGTAACTCTCCGAATGTTTATAGCTTTACCATTTCTGTTTTTATCGAAGAGTCCAGTTTTAAGAAGCCTATAAACAAACACTACAAATGAATATTTTGATGAGATATTAATTATTTTAAGCGACATGGTTCATAATTTTGAACCCTCTTTCTTGTTGAATGCCATATTACCTTGGATTCTTCTTGCCTTTGCCTTTCCTTGAGTTTTCTAATCTTATATGATTTGGCTGTTAAGATAGATTAAGAATAGCTCTTCCTTCTCAAAGTAGAACTTCAGTGTTATTTTTACCTATAAGGTGTATTTTTTATTATTTGAGTGTTTATATGATCTTGAAATATTTTCCTTATAGTGACTTATTTAGGTTTTAAAGAGAATTTTACAAGTCATATCCACCTTTGCAAGAAAGGTAATAACATTTAGCGCTTTATTACATGTCGCACTAAACAGAAGGAATATAATAAGTGGGATTTGTCTTTAACTTCACCGTCAGAAGGATTCTTGGTGCCGTGGATATGTGTGGATGTCCCTCTTTCCAAACGTACCGCTGTGTGGACTGTACATGCCTAGCTTGGGCTTAATCGCCTTATAGGCCGCTACTATGTCAGCCTCTTCTGGCACTGTCTTGTAGGATCATCCACACGCCCAGGAGACAACCTATCACGTCTTCTATGACCGCCGATATCACCAGAACTGTCCGTCCATCCTCACCCTGGAATGCCATCCTGGCGCCTGTTCCGCAGCTGGAGTCCATCAATCTTTAAAACGACATTTTAAAATTATCCCGCATGTGTTTCATTTCAATGAAAAATCCAAATTTATTTTAAGGAGAAATAATGATTATTTCTAACCTAAGAGATGAGGTATGAAAGGATGAATTGTGAAGAGTAATGATAAACGGAAAAATAAAAGTGTCCAGGGATGGGAATATATCCATCCATCTACCTTTCCTCAACCTTACTATAGAATGTTAGTCTCTCGGGTAGGGTATCATCCATTTTACATTATTCTTGTTAATGTTTTCTTAGAATGTTATATAGTACTAAGTCTCTGAGTATCATTTTTATAAGAGATTGGAATCATAATATTTATCTCAAAGTCTCATTTGGTATTTCTCCTGTCAGATTTTATAGGTTTATGGAATTGAATATGTTTTATTCAGCTCCTTCTTCTAACGGTTTTACAAGTTCTCCAGGTAGCTGGTTGAATTAACTGTTGCTTTCCTCTTCTTTAATAAAGGCAAATAAAAATATAGTTTAAATAATATAAATGATGTTAAATATATTTTTTTTAATCTATGCTTATTTAATTCTCTTAAAATATTAAATTTATATAAAGGAAAACTAAAATATTAAATAGATAAATATAATCTAACACTGTGGTGAACTATTATAATCATATTTTAGCCAGTACACAGAATATTTACAACAAAAAGCCTTCATTGAGGACCTCTCGTCCTATATAGGATTCGCCAGTCTATATGTAGTAGGTATAGTATAGTATTTCTACACTGTGACTATATACAACAGCAGCAACAAGCCTTTTAGTGGAATCAAAGTCCCATACCGGATTCGTCATTCTAATCCTGACATAGATTATTTGCATATAATTATTTACATCAATTAGATTATGTATATAGCCTCCTCTTCTCTTCAGTCGTCTTCCAAAATTTGAACAACGCAAACGCTCCAGCTCTGTTTCTCACCACCTCATTCAACAGGAGCTCCAAAGAGAGTCCCTCAAGGCCTATTTCACTGAGGAGCACTTCTCGTTCGTCTTTCAGCCCCATACATGTGAGTATACGGTGATGTAGCCCCGTCTCCATTCTTGTCCCGCAAATCTCGCATGTCCATCCGTCTGTTTTAAATATTCTGGGGCGATCATCAGTGAAGAGCACCGAGAGGATTCTTAGTCCGGCAATACACCGTTTGACCCGGAGCGGGAAATCGCTGGACAGATAGTGTTCCGGTAACGGAGTTGAGCAGATGTTTTTATAGTGGGGGTAAAGTCTTGAATTTATTATTTTTGTGTGATTCTTTTGCAGAGATTGATCTATTGCAGTCCTGATTATGTAGGGAATTTCTTTCCGTAATGTTCTGTAGTCTGTTCAGAAATTCAGCCATTGAAATCCGGTGGTGTTTAAAATATTAACTATACTTCCCGTGAAACCTATATATTTTTTCGTTACGTTTGAGATTTCCCACAGCTGGGACAAGCAGAGCAGCGGCAATCTAGTTTCACCCATTCCCAGCATTCTCAACCAGAACTTTAAGGTAAGTTTCAAGACTGTAACGCTGAGTGACACTCTTCCCAATTCTATCCTGAGCATATATCCGGGGGTGTATCTTGGTAGATTTAGATATCTTCGCATAAATGAGTCCTGAATTTGATCAACAATTAATGTATGCTCATTTGCCCAAACAGGTGCCGCGTATAGCAGGGTTGATTACACAGAATAAGGGGTAGGGTTAAAATGCCATTTGTATTTGCAATATTCATAATATTTGTGGTTGCTCCTAATTCAACGGTAATGAGGATATTCTGAATATATTCTGAAAAGCTCTTAGAGAGATGATCTGCTTCTGGTCTTGGAAGGATTCATAAAAGGAAACAAGCAAAGAGGAAGCCCAAGAACGAGGACCAATGAATTAAAGGACTGGAGTGGAGTAAGCTACATGCTGCTAAAGAAGAAGACCAAAGACTTCAAGAACTGGATTGGAGTAAGCTACATGCTGCTAAAGAAGAAGACCAAAGACTTCAAGAACTGGATTGGAGTAAGCTACATGCTGCTAAAGAAGAAGACCAAAGACTTCAAGAACTGGAGTGGAGTAAGCTACATGCTGCTAAAGAAGAAGACCAAAGACTTCAAGAACTGGAGTGGAGTAAGCTACATGCTGCTAAAGAAGAAGACCAAGAACGAAGACCAATGACATCAAGGAATCGAGTAAAGAAGTTACACGCTGCTGACTTCAAGGACTGGAGTAAGTTACATACTGATAAAGAAGAAGGTCCAGGATCAAAGCGGATGGAACTTTGTATCACTGATAGCATTGCAACGAAGAAAGAAAATGCTAAAATATTATTAAATAACTCAATGAGTCAGTCTTTGTTTATATATTTATGATTCTATAGATATAATAGAAGTGTCCTTTTATCTATCCATGTCATATTGAGTAGCTTTCTTTATGTTCAGATTTTAAAAGCTTCAATTATTGTACTTTCTTTCGAGAATCCAGTTTGATATCTCTTTCTCTAACTCTCGCAGTCCAACGGTGGCAGAGTCTTTCCTGTAGTGGGCGCCACCAATGAAGACCTTGTATATATTTATCATTATATAATCATATTTATTCTGTATTTAACCTTATATAATTTTATATGGACTTTGAAATAAAGTAGTTTCAATCTCTCTCTTATTAATATTACTTTAATCAGGAAAAAACTTCCCAACACAGGGACTCGAACCCGAGACTTTTAGAGTAGAAGTCTAAAGCACTATCCACTGCGCTACTGAGACATAATGTCTAGTATATCAGATCAATATATATATTGTAACAAAGTATTTATTATTTTATTAACAGAGTAATAATTTTTATGTTTATATTTTGCTATACTCTTTACACTTCCCTCTTTTGCTTATCTTTTGTTTATCACTCATAGTTTTGTTCTTGCCTGAAATAAATTGTTGTCTCATCCCAAGGTTGGTCTTCCCTAATTTTCCATGTGGCAATATTTTATAAATGTGTTCTCTCAAAGAGATGGTAACGCATCATCCGAGCGGTACATCAGTACCATTTAATTCAAATAGCTAGGTATACATATATGCGGAAGTCTAGGAATATAGATGGTGTACTACATATTCAATATTTATAGTAATTACATACTAGTTATTCGATCCATACATGATGTAATGACATTATTAGTATTCTCTCCAATGAGATTATAATCATATACAAACCTATATTTGAATATTCATTGATATATATTCTTTATATGGAGATGAAGGTGCATCTTCCCATGCTATGATAATAATGTGAAGAGAAATGTTATGAGCATATTCACCGCTTTAGTAAGCATGCCTCTCTCCTATGGGGATGTGCATTCTGAGAACATGTGCCACGATGCGTTGGCCTTAAGATATCCTTTCTGGCTATGGGATATATATATATATATATATATATATATATATATATATATATATATTGTACGTTTTTTATTATTAGAATAATTTCTGTTGATTTCTTTCACTCATCTAAGCTTTCTCAATCCTAGGTAGATAGCTGTGGTATGATCTGGGGCATTAGTTGTGTAGTTTGCTTTATTCCCGATTTGACAAAGATCACATTTCTTCTTTTTATTATTCACACGGACTGTCACCTTGTACTATGAAATTATATATAACAAATTTACATAATTGTAGAACGACATTATCCCGCATTCTTTTTAACGAAAAATCGAAATTTATTTTAAAGAAATATAAGGATTATTTCCAATCTTAGGGATGAAGTATGAAAGGATGAATTGTGGAGAGTAATGATAAACGGAAAAATAAAAGTGTCCAGGAATGGGAATCGAACCCACAGTGTTCCACTTACTGGGCAGATACTATGTCCACTAGAATGCCCTAGTAAATAAAAACATTTATAAATTATGTTCCTAAATGAACACCTCTCCCTTTAAATATGCATGAACACAGTGTATTTTATGATGCAATAGTGCGCCATCTGTTATCAAAATTCGAAACTATTTTAAAAAGGCGTAAGATTCTTTTTGAAATTAAACAATTTCTACTGCCCTTACTGCAATAAAAAATTAAAGGGAGGGTCTAACTCATCATTAGTGAACCCTCCAAGCGGTTTCGCCAGTTTAATCTACCATACCGCTGTTATATTGCATTTTTGGAACTTCCTTTTATAGTGATACTGTTGGTAGAATCTTGGAATGGGTATTTTAGAAAGAACTATGGATATAAGCTTTGAGGACAGTAAAATTACATACATTTATGAATATATAATATGCTTCGAACAATCGCTCTTCCGCAAATATCATAATGTGTCTTTTATTAGAACATTTATAATATGATGCACTAATGCGTCATCTGTTATCAAAATTCGAAACTATTTTAAAGGCGTAAGATTTTTTTTGAAATTAAACAGTGTATTTTGTTTATCACCCCCATTTTATAGAATTCAGATATAAGCTAACCTGTATACAAAGGTTTAGGGATATGGCTCTTCATCAGTACAGCATCGATTTCACAACATTCTATGAGAGGAGTTAAGAAATTAGTTGAATTTTCCTAAACTGGTGTTGTGATTCATTCTTCATTACTTCCTTTAATACTGGGGCTTATAAACAAAATGTATAATTGAAGGGAGAAGTACCAATTTTGGAATTTTAAGGAAGTTGTACCTTTTAGCATGTATATCGGGATTCAGACAATAAATCTGAAAGATATTACAGTGACCTTTATTGAAGACATACAAAATAACCAAAGGTGAACAAAACTTACGGAAGTTGTACCTTTTAGCATGTATATCTGGATTCAGACAATAACTCTGAAAGATATTAAAGTGACCTTTATTGAAGACACACGAGATAACCAAGTGTGAACAAGGCTTAAGGAAGTTGTACCTTTTGACAGGTATATCGGGAATCAGATAATAACTCTGAAAGATATTACAGTGATCTTTATTGAAGACACACGAGATAACCAAGTGTGAACAAGGTTTAAGGAAATTGAACCTTTTAGCATGTATATAGGGATTCAGACAATAACTCTGAAAGATATTACAGTGACCTTTATTGAAGACATACGAGATAAGCAAGTGTGAACAAAATTATCTCTGTGTCTTACAAAAAAAAAAAAAAAAACAGGCGACATCAAAGCCTTTCCATTTCCTTAAAATTTTGTCCATGAGTGTATAAATTACTGATTAGTTAGTGTGATTAGTGTCTGGTTAGGAGTTAGTTCGATGATACTTATCATTTGTGATATGATGCACTAGCACGCCATCTGTGATCAAAATTCGAAACTATTTTAAACGCATAAGATTATTTTTGAAATTATTTAATATATAAATAGTTCTTCTAAAATACCCATTCTCTCCAAGAGTCTACATCAGTATCACTATAAAAGGAAGTTCCGAAAATGCAATATAACAGCGCACTATTGTTACACTATTTATGAAAAGGAATCGTGTAAGTCAAACAGAGATACTGATCTCAGACATTTTATATCTTTTCAAGGGCCTTCTTAGATCTTTGACATGTTTAGTATGAGAACAAATGTCGATTGACCTCTCTTCCAAAATTTAATTAAGAAGATATCACTAAAACCTTCCTTATGTTACTTAGTATACGTTGTAATGGCCATGATATTCATGGTGGGTAGTTAGCGATTGCCTTTACTAATAACTGCATGTCTACACATATGGAAAAAAACAGTTTGAACTTTGCGATTACAAGTATCCCATAACCCAGTTTGTACAGGCCATGATATTCATTTTGGATAGTTAGCGACACTTTACTGTTAACTCTATCTCTACGCATATAGAGAAAACAGTTCTATCTTGGAAATTACAAGTATTCCATTACCCAGTTTGTACAGGCCATGATAATCATTGTGGATAGTTAGCTACTGCTTTTAGTCCTTATTGCATGTACACATATGAAAAACAGTTCGAACTTTGCGTTTACGAGTATGCCAGAACCCAGTTTGTACAGGCCATGATATTCATTGTGGGTAGTTAGCGATTTCATTTACTGTTAACTGTGTCTACGCATAGGGAAAACAGTTCGACATTTAAAATTACAAGTATATCATTCTCAGTTTGTACAGGACATGATATCCATGAAAGGTAGTTAGAAACTGCTTTTACTATTAACTGCAGGCCTACACATATGAAAATTAAAGTTAGACCTTGTAATTACAAGTATACATAAACAGTTTGTACAGGCCATAATATCCGATATAAGTCGGTGGATGAGAGGGTAACACGCTCGATTCCCGACAGTCATGTGTGCAGAGTATTAGGCTCAGAGATTGAGAGCTCTGAGAAGAAAAGGAATGAGACTCTGCTATTATTATATTAGTATTATATTCCGTATATTTAGATATTTATTAAAAGAATTTGTTTAGCCAAGCTTTTATTTTGTCCTGACTGACAACACATCATGAACCGGGATTGAATCCCGCGTTAAATTTTTTTAAATATGTGAATATAAAATGAAAGGATTTTAAAAGCGCGAATGTTTCTTTTATACATAAAACGAACTTCTACTGTCCTTACTGCGATGAAAAAAAATATTGGGAGGGCTTGGCTCATCAATCGCGCTTTTAAAATCCTTTCATTTTATATGTATAGATGGCGCGTTATTGCTTTGTGTTAAATATGTGAATAACCTTCACATATTATTCACTGTTTCAATTATCATGAACTAGGTTGCTCTTGCTGAGCGGTACCTATTAATGTGATTTTGAACCAGCCATGATATTCAAGTTGGGTAGTTAGTGATTGATTTTACTGTTTACTGTATGTCTATACATATAAAAAACACAGTACGAATTTCACAATTACTGTATACCCTATTCAGTTTTAACAGGCCATGATAATCATTGTAGATAATTAGCGTCTGCTTTTACTGTTCAGTGCATGTATATACTTATAGATAACAGTTCGATCTTTGCAATTACAAGTATACAATACCCAGTTTGCACAGACCATGATTATCATGATGGATAGTTAGCGACTGATTTTACTGTTCAATGCATGTCTACACATATGGAAAAAAGGTCTACTATGAAATTATAAAGTGTTCCAAAACCTAGTTTGAATACTTGCAGTCAATGGTGAGCTTAACCTTTCGAAGATATGGGACAATTAGAGCAAATTTTCTTCAGAAAAAAAGGGTCGAATACGGGATTCGTTTCTGAGTCATTTCTAATACAATATAATACGGCTTATGATTGTAAAACGACATTTGAAAATTATCCCGCATGTGTTTCTTTTGAAAGAAAAATCAAAATTCATTTTAACAAGTTTAAATAACGATTATTTCTAACCTTAGGATGAAAGTATGAAAGAATGCATTGTGAAGAGTAATGATAAACAGAAAAATAAAAGTGTCCAGGGATGGGAATCGTACCCATAGTGTTTTGCTTACCGGGCAGATGCCATGTCCACTAGGTTACCCTATACATATTTCTCCATACGTTTTCTCCACCTTTCCATATCATTAATAATTAAATATGTAAAACATTCTATTACGTAATCTAATATGTAAATTATCTATCTATTATTATTATCTTTGTTAAATTAAAACTTTATAAAATTAAATATGCAAAAAAATAATTTGTATATAAAAATAGTATATATACACACACACATGGTCGTGTATCTTTTCCTATTTGAGACATATATATTGCGGTTTACGTCAGTGTTCGTATCCTTAAAGGTTGTGAGGCTTGCCTTAGCAGATTCTTTGGCTAAATAGCATTCCCTGTTATACCAGGGT